TAGAGCGTGGAGAAGTCGTTGCCGGTGCAGACGATGGGCACGCGCGGGATCTCCTCGTTCTTGTACACGCCTGGGGGGAGACAGGGCCGGGGGGTGGGGATGGAGGGGAGGGTGAGGGTGAGGGTGGGGCTCATGTGGGGCTGATGGGGGGGCAGGGCCGAAGTGGGGCAGAGCATCTTGCTGCGGTGTGCGGCAGGGCGGCGCCAGCTGGCGATTCGGGGCCTGGCAGCCCCGGCTGGCCCCGGCCCAAAGCCGAGCGCGCTGCGGCGCGCTGTGGCGCGCTGCGGTACCGCTGCGCTCACCCGGCAGCTGCACGTTGGTGGGGTTGTCGGCGATGTTCATCAGGGTGGCGTTCACCATCTGCGGGCGCCGGCGCGGGGAGGCAAGGGGCAGCAAGGCGCGTCACACCAGGCCAGAGACCGGGCCCCTCCCCCTGCGCCACGCGTGCCCGCCCGACTAAACTGGCCCGTCGGCGCACCCCACCTCCCCTGCTGGTTACCACATGTTACCACAGCCCGCCCACGCTCCCACCCCAGCCAGCAGACGCGGCAGCGCCGATGCAACCCAGCCCGCCCTGCCGCCGCTGCCAGCGCCGCCGTCGCTGCGAGCGGCAGCGGTACCGTACCGCACCTGGTTGTTGACAGTGTACTGCGTGGCGTCGCCCATGCGTCCCGCGCCCGCATCCAGGTCATTGATGAACAGGGAGCACATCTGCGGCGGCGGGGCGGGGCGGGGCGGTGTGTGTGTGTGTGTGTGTGTGTGTGTGTGTGCACGCGCGAGTGCGTGCCCGCGCGCGAGAGAGGCGGGGCAGGCGGGGGGGCGAGGGGGCGTGTGTGGGCACTTGTGCGTGTGCCCGGGAGAGGTGCGGGAGCCGGCAGGGCTGTCCTCTTCCCGCTGCGAGCGGCGAGGCTGCCTGGAGGGTCCCACGCCAGAGCGGCACATCCCCCAGCAGCGCAGGCGAGGCGGTACCACCCACCCGCCCCTTCTTGATGACGTCGGAGGCCTCGCGGTACCGCTGCCGGATCAGCTTGGCCGGCTCGCCCGCGTTGCCGCTCTCCAGCTCGCCCGCAGACATGACGATGGGCGCGATGCCCAGCTTCTTATAGGCCAGATTGCATTGGAAAGTCTTGCCTGCGGGGGCGGGGGAAGCAAGCAAACAGGTGTTGATGCCAGGTGGCACTCGAAGGTCTTGCCTGCGGGGCGGGGGATGCTTGCAACAGAGAGGCGCGCCGTGGATGGGCTGTGCGACGGGGGAGGCGGCGGCCAGTCCGCTGCGATCGGGCTGCCAGCCCCCGGCCGCAGCTTCAAGAGCTGCACCGCCGATTCCTGGTGCCGGCCCCATGTCCGCCGTGCTGCCCAGACGCTGCCGCCCAGCCAGCTGCAGCAATGCTGGAGCTGGCTGGCCCCACCCCCCGCCGCCCCGACGCCGCCTGGCGCGGCAGCCGCGAGCCTTGCCAGCAGCAGCCAGAGCAGCGCAGCAGCAGCAGCCAGCGCAGCAGCAGGCTGGCCGGGCCTGGAGACGACACACACACGTGCGCACGCGCACACACA